CTTCCCCTCCCTTAGTACCAACGCAAGATTTGCTTTTCCGTCTCTGTGCTTAACCCCCCCTTTCCTGTCCTGAAATGAGACAATCTAAATTCATTGTTTCATCTTCTATCCCAAGCAAGGTTTGTTTTTAACCTCCTTTTCTCCACTTCTTGACCCCTTTTTCAAAAGATCATTTCATAGTCTGCCATACAGTCACCCCTTTTCGTCTTTCAGCTAATCTTTTGACCGACCTAACCTCCCGTTTTTGGGGTTATGTCAGTTTTTCTCTGTCCCATTTCTCTCGCTTGTCACATCGGTTCAAAATTTACTATCACCTACCAAGTAAACAAGTAAGCTTTCCTTAACCCGTTAACTCCCTGACGTGATTAATTTTTAACTTCTACTTGTGTATCCATTATGTTATCTTGTAACTACGTTATGAGAAAAGAAAGTCATTTCAGTCGGAGAATATCATTATGATGTAACAACGAACTCTCCCTTCTAACTTACAAGGAAATGTAAAGTGGTATGAGAGGTGAATTTCTAATTGGATCTTGGGATTTAAAGGGTTAAAGAAGAATAGCCAAACACAACTTCACTTTGGCTTTGTAATTCCCATTTATCAATCTACCTATTTCTCCTCCCTTTTTTCGTTTCCCATTTTTCAATTCATGCACCCTCCCTCCCCTTCCTGTTCGAATTCGCGGGACCATTGCATTTTCTTGCGTTCCACTTTCTTTCGACCGACTTACTGATTCGTTCTCTCTTGCTTCACCTGTGTAACGAAAGGCCCTGCTTCCGTTTGTCTCCTCAGAAACGCTCCTTTCACCCTGGCGAGACAGCTCCTCTCCGTTCCCCATACGATTTTGACGACGAAGGAAACGCTACCAGCACGTCTACAACCGAACCATCCAGCAGCGGTTTCCGTAGCAGCGTAACGAGTCAGTTTACCACGGACAACAGTGTCACAGATACCATAGGGGATGAAGACACCAGCGTACCAGGTGTGTGTTTGAAATGTCATATATTTTAGATATATCAACAAAGTTGAAATGGTAAAGAGAACAGAGAACAGAGAACAGCCTGAGACGAACGCGAAGGGAGGGGGGAGGGGGGGGTAAGAAGGAGGCCTTAGGATGTTATAATTTGGATATATCAACAAAGTTGAAGGGGTAAAGAGAACAGCCTGAGACGAACGCGAAGGAAGTGGGGAGTGGGAGGGGTAAGAAGGAGGCCTTAGGTTGTTATAATTTGGATATATCAACAAAGTTGAAATGGTAAATTGGCCACCGTAACGATTACAAAAGCTGACGTTTCGAGCGTTAGCCCTTCGTCGGAGCGAATAGAGGGATTGTGGGTTGTGTGCTTTTACAGGCAGAAAATGGAGCTACGTTATTCGTGGGAACATGGCAACGAGAAAAACACGAATAAATTAGTGGAATGAAAAGCGTTCGTTGATCCCTGTGGGATTTAGACTGCCGGTTTGAAAGATGAGCTTTTGTTCAAGATTTTTACGGCTTTCCGTGCTACCTAAGTGTAAGGAAAGACCGCAGATTGCCATATGTTGCTTAGAATGATTAGGTAAATTAAAATGTCTAGCGACTGGTTTCGATGTGTCCTTGTCATTCCTTTCCACGTCTCGAAGGTGTTCTCGGAATC